TGTATCTGTATCTGTATCTGTATCTGTATCTGTATCTGTATCTGTATCTGTATCGTATCTGCATTGATTGAAGTTACTGGAAATAAATAAATAAATACATTTTTAAAATCCGTTTACCTCTGTGGGTACCTAAGAATCTATTTATCTATTTGTATTTCAATTTAATCTGATTTTTGTTTGCAATGGAATGTAAAAATTTCGCAAATATTCACCTTTTTAGGAGATAAACCATTTGCATCACATATCAAAAATAATTATTGCTTGCGATTTGCGAATATTGTGTAATGCGAATGCCACAAATCGAATGTAAGCGGGATTAAAGAAATAATTCTAATTGGCAGAATGAAATTTGATCTCAAATAAAATGAAATTCCATTTCAGTTAGCTCATTTATTCGACTGTGTAATTTACTTTTGATTACGCTAACCGACTGTCGTCAATCAGAGGCAATTAAATATACGTAATTAAAGAGCCAGAGAAAACTGATTGCGCTTTATTGATTTATGCACGGAAAACAGTTCGATATATAACAAATATATAAAGCGATTTGCACGAAATGGGCAAGAAATTATAGCATTAGAAACGAGACTTTCAATTTACTCAATTATCCGCAATGCAGATTAATTGTGAGGAATGCAATTATTAGCGCTATGTTGCCATTACAGCAAGGTGCAGTTCACAGTTTGAAGCTGACCACAAGGAAAAATCATTTCAATTCAAGTTCTGCTTTAAAAGACTTTCTCAAGCCAAGTATCACGACAAAAGACACCTTTGTTAACCCCAAACGTAAGTCTTTAGATTGAAATGATAAATATTCCAGCTTTCAACTATGTAGGAGATGGGGATTGGCTGTGTGTGCTTTTAATCTATATTTATTATCTTCAGCTAATATATGCTGTCTGCCTCTCCAATAACTTAAAGACTATTCAAGGCTTGGAATTTAAATTTTTCCCATTGGCATTTCAAGTGCTGTGCTCTCAACTTGCTGCCCAACTGTCAATCGACCACAAATTGTAGGCCCATTGATTGCTGTGTAATTTGTGTGATAATGACTTTTCCGACATGATTTATACATTCAGCTCGGTGAAACTGATATTGAGCTCTGAAAATTGTGTTGAAAATCAAACAAAAGAGCTGCATTCAATCCGAGTAATTGAGTTGAAATTTAATTCTCTGATTTTCTGAATATATCAGCCATGAGGTAACTGCCTAAATGTCACAAAACAGAATTGTCAAAGGACCTGCAAAAGAATAGGCAAGGCAGACTCTGTAATATGGCAAATCGTTGATAAATGATCCATGAAAGAAATGAAAAAGAAAACAAACAAATGGAAAATATGTTTGGCAAGCCCATAAACCAACTGCTCGGCTTATGCCTCGATGCATCGCTTGGCTTGACTTGTGAGCCGGTGCTTTAATGTGTACTAAAGTTAATTTGAGTGCAGTTTGTCCGTTTAGCTGGCGGCTTTATGAACTCGATGGTGAGTACTCTGGGTCTTGCAATGAGCAGCAAGAAGATAAATAACTGCACATGGAGTGCGGTTAAAATTGCAGCATCCATTAACTTGATAAAGAACTGAAATTTGTGCATATCAGAAGCACAACTAAAACTTTGCTATTATTTAGCATTGCACTTGGGCTTGAGCAAACTGAACTCTGCGAAATATGGCTGGAAAACATGCTGGCCAGGTAGGTAATACCACTGCATGGCCATGGCCAACATCAACAACAACGGCAACAATGGCCTGACGGAGCCGCCATTATTTTGACATACGATGGAGCTGAGAGTCGGCCGGAACAATGGAAAACACGAGCGCTGAACCATTTTACACGCAGGCAAAAGGACGCAGCGTCCGTGGACTAGGACCCAGGCCTGTTGATGTTGGGGCGGTCCAGGGTCCAGGGTATTACAATGCTCAAAACACAAATACACAAACATACATACACACACACACACACACACACACAGAGGCACACAGAGAGAACATGAAGAAACATAATGGCTGCTTACAATTTGTGAACGAGCATAATGCGAACATTACATCCGCGCCATTGTTTCTTGCCCCTGCCCCACGCTCCGGACTGTTCGCTTCTCGCTTCTCGCTCCTACTTCGTCCTTCTCGAGGCCCAGCGAGCACCCATGGGGTGTCGTTGAGTCGGGCGTACCGTTGGCAGGGTGTCTAAATTAAATTAAAGCTGTTTAGGTGTAATTGGTCGTTGAGAGGGGTCACAGCCATGGCAAAGGCAGCGTGCCTCGAGTGGCGCTTTTGTCCGAAAAGGAGAAGTGACCCTTTTTTGTCCAGCCCGTGCTGGGGCCCATACATATTGCAGAAACCATGAAAATGGCCAATTAATGGTGCATGAGTCAGGCCAAATTGAGCGCGCACACACAATAAACAGCCCATACAAGAGATTATAAAGCGCCCAACACGAAGGCCTCCGATTTTCAACACTAACAAAATGCACTCGCGCATGTATAAATATTTATATACATTCACATATGTGTGTATGTATATATATCTATATAATCCACCTTTTAATTGACACAAAATTGTTAAGGCCCGAGCGGTGTTGAGTTCGCTTTTTTAATTATTGCGCTTTTTGAGCTCTCTTAACATTGACATGAGTATTACGTGCATCAATTAATCATTACTCTACCGCTCATGTTAGTCTCCTCAGACTGCAGCGAACCTCCGATCAAAACAAGGGCCCATAGTATTTACA